AAGCCCCCAAAATGGTACATTTCAAAACTTGGCAAATCTGGATTTCTTTCTGAACCCATGTAAAATAATTTGAACTTCATTTGATAGAGAATGTAGGCCAGTGCAGGATTTTAAGGTAGAGAGGGGCTAGAGATATTTTAGGGTTTAGAGAGATCCCTGCTTCCAACAAGACAGCATCTGAGAATATGATTTCCAGTTTAATGTGATTGAACATGTTTGTAGGGAGGCCGCCCTTCAGGTTAAGAGATCAAGGTTGCTGATTAAATAATTTGATAAATCCTTCTGTCTCTTCAGTAATTTGGAGAGACAAATTTGGGGCACATTTAAAAGTTAATCAAGTAACATATATCAATTGGGGTTCTAACAAGATAGCTTTTGCTGTAATTGATAACTTATATGAGAAAAATAAAAATAAGCTAGGTTTTATGTTTGCTTTCTTACTAATGAGGATAATTTATTATATAAAAAGCCAATATAGAGGGGCGCCTGGGTGGCTCAGTGGGTTAAAGCTTCTGCCTGCAGCTCTGGTCATGATCCCAGGGTCCTGGGATTGAGACCTGCATTGGGAATCTCTGCTCAGCGGGGAGGCTGCTTCCCTTCCTCTCTTTCTGCCTGCCTCTCTGCCTGCTTGTGATCTCTCTCTGTCAAATAAATAAATAAAATTGTAAAAAAAGAAAAAAAGCCAATATAGAGTAAGATGTTAAAATTCCCAATGTGTAAAGTTTTGTACTCCAAAGATTAAAGTAGATTGATTGGCATGATGGGTTGATATTCACAGGTCAGAAGAGAGATATATGGAAGAATAATTAAGCATAAGTAGGCAAAATGGAAAAGAATTAGACTTTCTCACAGGAAATATAATTAATTCCATAGTCACCTAAAACACAGATATATTTATTCATTCAACAAATACTTATTGATCATAAGCTGTATGCTAGGCTCTCTCTTAGGTATTAGGGATAGAAAATGACCAAAACTGAGCCTCTGGCCTCATAGAACTTATACTACAAATAGAAGTGAATATATCAATAATTTCATGCCAAGTGTAGCATAAGTGCCACAAAAAGAGGTAAAGCAAAGTAAGGGGATAAAAAGTGATGTGACTTCTATTTTAAATAGAATTGTTAGAAAAAGTATCCCCGAGACTGTAACAGTTCAGGAAAAACCTCGATGAAAATAGGAGATGGAACAAGCAAAAATCTGGAGGGAAAGTATTTCTAGCAAAGGAAATAGCAAGTACACGCTCTTGAAATGGGAAGGTGTTTGGTGTTGTTAAAAACAGAAAGCAGCTCTGTGTAGCTAAGTGAGCAAAAAGGAAGAACAGTGGGAAGTAATATCAGAAAGGCAGTCAGAGGTCAGATCCCATAGATTTCGTAGGCCAAGGTGTGATCTTTAGATTTAAAATAAGTGAAATGAGGGTGCCTGGGTGGCTCAGTGGGTTAAAGCCTCTGCCTTCGGCTCAGATCATGATCCCAGGCTCCTGGGATCGAGCCCCGCATCGGGCTCTCTGCTCAGCGGGGAGCCTGCTTCCTCCTCTCTCTCTCCCTGCCTCTCCGCCTGCTTGTGATCTCTCTCTGTCAAATAGATAAATAAAATAAAATCTTTAATAAATAAATAAATAAATAAAATAAGTGAAATGGAAAAACTTTGGAAGGTTTTGAGTTTAGGAGTGGCATAATTTAGCTTAGATTATAAAAAATTCACTCTGGCTGCTGCTGCTGTGTGGATACAAATTAAATGGGAACAGGGATGGGATGGAAGTGGAAGTCTGCTGCAGTGGTTGATGCAAGAGAAATTGGTGGCTTGGACTGGGTTATCAGTAGTGACTATATTGAAAAGGGATCATATTTATACAATTTTGAAAGCAGAGTCAAAGAAAATATATTAAAATATTTTTGTATGGATTAAAAATAATAGCCATGGTAACTACAGTTGATTGAACATCTATTACATACAGAGCACATTGCTTAGATCATGTCATGCTACTTCTTGAGAATGCAGTCATCAAACTGGGAAACAGAGGAGTCAAGTTGACTTAGCCACCATCTACATATAGTAAGTGAAAGTAGGATATCTGTCTCAAGATGTCTCACATCCAAGATTGAAAAAGGTACAGAAATCATACTTGAATGGCTGTGAACCTATCAGAATGGATAACTTAACAGAAAGCTAGCAATTGTATTAATTATTTTTTCAGGAAACATGCAACGTTTGATTGACTGAGGTTAAATCTTGGCACATAATATAAGTGAAATCATATAATATTTGCCTTTCTGTGTCTGCCTTAGCATAATGTCAGTATAATATTTTCAAGATCCATTCATGTTGTAGTATATATCAAAATTCTGTTCCTTTTTTTTTAAGATTTTATTTATTTATTTCACAGAGATCACAAGTAGGCAGAGAGGCAGACAGAGAGAGAGGGGGAAGCAGGCTCCCCACTTAGCAGAGAGCCTGATGCAGGGCTCAATCCCAGGACCCTGAGATCATGACCTGAGCTGAAGGCAGAGGCTTAACCCACTGAACCACACAGGTGCCCCAACTTTGTTCCTTTTTATGGCTGAATAATAGCCCATTATAAGCATATACCACAAAATGTTATCCTAACATTCTTCAATGGACACTTAAATTGTTTTTGGCTATTGTGAATAATAATGCCATGAACACCAGGATACAAACACCTGTTCAAGTCCCTGCTTTCAATTCTTTTGGATATGTACCAAGGAATAGAATTTCTGGGTCATATGGTAGTTCTATGTTTAACTTTTTGAGGAACTGACAACTGTTTCCCATAGTAGATGTGCCATTTTACATTCCTGTCAACAATTCCTGAGGGTTCCAAATTCTTCATATCCTCATTAACATATTTTATTTTCCATTTTCTTCATTATAATCATCCTGATAGGTGAAAAGTGGTAGCTCATGCTTTTGATTTGCATTTCTCTAAGACAAATGATATTAAGCATCTCTTCATGTTCTTATTGGCCATTTGTATATTATCTTTGGAGAAATGTCTATTAAAGTCCTTTGCTTATTTTTGAATTGAGTTCTTTTTTGATTATTGTTAAATTTTAGGAGTTTTTTATATATTCTGGATATGAGTCCTTTATAAGATATATGATTTGCAAATATTTTCTATTTTATAGGTTGGTTGTTTGCTTTCTTGATTGTGTATTTTGATGACACTTTCTTAATCTTGATGAAGTACAATTTATCTATATTTTTTCTTTTGTTGCCTGTATTTTTGGTGTCATATCCATAAAATAGTTGCCAGAACTAATAGCATAAAGATTTTCTTCAATGTTTTCTCCTGAGAGTTTTATAGTTTTTGCTCTTAAGTTTAGGTCTTTGATCCATCTTGAATTAATTTTGTGCATAGTGTGAGTTAATTTTGTGCACTTTATTCTTTTGTATGTGGATATCCAGTTTTCTCAGAACCATTTGTTGAAAAGACTGTATTTTCCCTCATTGAAAGGTCATTTTCAACAAAAGTTGAACATGTGAGATTATCATTTTATATGTGTAAGAATTTATGTGAGAATTTATTTCTGGGCTCTCCATTCTATTTCATTGATTTGTATGTCCATCCTTATGCCAATACCATACTGTTTTAATTAAAACAGCATTGTAGTAAGTTTTGGAGTCAGGAAATGTGAGTCATTCTTCCTTTTTCATAAAAGGAAGGTTTTGGGTTTGTATGTGTTTGTACAGGTGTTTGTATCCTGGTGTTCTATTCAGGGCTCCTTGCCTGAATATGAATTTGAAGATTGATTTTTCCATTTTTGTGGGAAAAGGATACTGAAATTTTGATAGGGATGGCATTGAACCTATACATTACTTTGGATAGTACTAACATCTTAACAATATTAAGTCCTTTCATCCATGAACATAGGTGCCTTTTTATTTAGCTGTTTTCTTTAATTTCTTTCAGCAATGTTTTGTAGTTTTTAGTATACAGACCTTTCACTTCCTCAGTAAGATTTATTGTAAGCACTTAATTCTTCTAGATATTACTGTAAATGGAATGGATTTCTTAACTTCCTTTTTGGATTGTTCATTGTTAGTATATGGAAACATAACTGATATTTGTGTGTGCAACTTTGCTGACTTTGTTTATGAGCTCTAATATTGTTCTTGTGGATTCTTGGGTATTTTCTTTATACATAGGATCATGTCATCTGTGAATAGAGATAGTTTACTTCTTCCTTTCTAATTTTGGAAATTTTGTTTCCAATATTTTATTTTAATTCCAGTATCATTAACGTAGTGTTATCACTTTCAAGTGTACAATATAGTGGTTCAAAATTCCATACATCATCCAGGGCTTATCATAACAAGTGCTCTTAATATTTTAAAGCAACAAATAGAGATCAAGATTTACATAACTGCAAAAAATAAACAAAAAAACAAAAACCCACTACTATAATTGTGAATACCAAAAGGTAACACTGGCTCTGATTCTACAAGTGACTGAATTTTTACTTATGTATTTATACATTTTTTGAAAGATTTTATTTATTTATTTGACACAGAGAGAGAGCACAAACATGGGGAGCCGCAGCCAGAGAGAGAGGGAGAAACAGGCTTCCCACTGAGCAAGGAGCACAATGCAGAGCTCAATTCCAGGACACTTGGAGGCAGGTGCTTAATGACTAAGCCATTCCAGGTCCCCCTGTCTTTCTACATTTAAAAGAATTTTGCAATGAAATGTTATTTCTTGGGAAAAAAATGAAAGAAAAATGAGATGCTTACAGAAAGGGCAACAATCGCAGATATTACTAAGACAATGAGATCAAGCTACATGAGTTTGCTCTAATGAAGAGGTTAGTGGTTTATTGCTGGATTTGACCAACATTTTAATGTTGGTTTGACCATTTATTTTCACCCACCAACAGTGATGTAAATCCATGGGAGGTCCTTAGGCCTGAACTGGCTGGATTTGTTGAGTGAGAAGTTGTGATCTCTCTGAAGACTCTCCTACAAACCTCATTGTTTTGTAGCTCTGACACCATTTGAAATGAACAATCAAACAGATGTAACAGAATTCATCTTCTTGGGATTTTCCAACCACCCCAATCTACAAGGTTTGTTTTTCCTGGTTTTCTCGATCATTTACCTGACAACACTTGCGGGGAACATGCTCATAATAACAGCCACTAGAATCAGTCTTGCTCTCCACACTCCAATGTATTATTTCCTCAGCAACCTGAGTTTCTTAGACATCTGCTATACATCCACCACCATTCCAGTCATGCTGGTGAACTTCTTCCGGGAGAAGAAGACCATTTCATATGAGGGCTGCCTTTCCCAGATTTTCTTCCTCGTGACATGTGCTGGCACTGAGGGTGTCTTATTGGCGGCTATGGCATATGACCGCTGTGTGGCCATTTGCCACCCTCTTCAATATCCAGTCCTCATGAGTGTGAAGGTCTGTGTTTTTTTGGTGACTGGGTCCTGGCTGTGTGGGCTGGTGAATTCTGTGACACACACGGTACTGGCAGCCACACTCACGCTCTGTGGACCCAACCAAATCAGCCACTTTCTCTGTGACATTCCACTGCTCCTGAAGCTCTCCTGCTCAGACACCTCTCTGAATGAATCTGTGCTCCATGTGGCCAGTGCCACCATTGGCCTGAGTCCCTGCCTGTTTACTGGAGTGTCCTACATACTCATCATCTCTGCCATTCTTAGGATTCCCTCTGCTCAGGGTAGGAGCAAGGCCTTCTCTACCTGTGCATCCCACCTTACTGTGGTAGTGGTCTTCTTTGGAGCGGCCAATTTCAATTATGACAGAACCAGCATAGGCTACAACCTGGACATGGATATCCTGATTTCTGTGTTCTTCTGTGTTATAACACCTATGTTGAACCCCATCATATATAGCCTGAGAAACAAGGAGGTCAAGAGTGCCCTGAGGAAGTTAACTAGGGAATGTGGGCTCTCTAATGAGATCAACAATTAGATGTTTTCATTCTGAAAAATTCCTTACATAATAAAAACATGGGCCTTTTAGCTGAATTATAACAGTGGTGTCTACATAGGATCTTCTGACAACTGTAATGCTCCATTCCACCAGGACAACAAGCTACACCTATGCCAAGCATTTCACACATTGTGATCTAAAATTTCCTGTGTTCTCCAATCCACTGATATGAGAACATTTTCATAATCCACCACCGCTCCCCAAAAAAAATCTAGTAACCACATATTTAAAAAAAAAATCACCCCCCCCCCGCCGTATCTGCCCATTTTAGTAGCACTAGAAAACCTCTAATCTGCTCTCTGTGTCTATGGATATCCTTATTCTACATGTTTCATATAAATAAAATCATATAGTGTGTGCCTTGTGTGTCTGGCTTTCTTCACTTGGGGTGTTTTCAAATCCCATCTATTTTGTAGTATGTATTGGTATTTTATTCATTCTTATTGCTAAGTGATTTCCATTTTATGGATATGCACATGTTACTTATCCATTCATCACTTAATAGACATTTTGTTTGTTTCCACATTTTGGCTATTATGAGTAATATTGCTATAAACATTTATGTACCACTTTTTAGTGAACATATATTTTTATCATTATGGAATTTATACCTATGAGTGGAATGGTTGGATCAAATGATAACCTTATGTTTACCATTCTGAAGAAGAGCCAAGTTGTTTTCAGAACAGCGCACCATTTTACCTTACTAAGAGCAGTATATGAGGATTCTAATTTCTCTACCTCCTCACCAACACATTATTATTATATGTTCTTTTTGGTACACCCATCCTAGTATGTGTGAAGTACTATATCAATGCAATTTTGGTTTGCATTTCCCTGGTGGATAATGATTTTAAGGACTTTAATAAGCACCACTTCTGTACTTCTCCTTCATGTATAGAAAAATTCATGCTGCTAAGGGAGTGTTTGAACTTTAAACACTCAACTCTTGACACTATCTAATGTTTTTATCCGAATTTTGGTGAAGTAAAATACAAGATTTTCAAACTTACAACCTTTTTCCCAACTATAAACTACAGAGCTATTTGATGGCTCTGCTTTTTTCTCCTTTAGAACTCCATACTAATATCATCATCAGATCAGAGTACTGCCAGAAATTTGAGGACATGAAGATGTAAGGATGTTGGTGGGGAAGAAAGGAAGCACCATATCCAGGTGAGCAGCCCTAAGTAGGAGGGGCTTAGTGCCAAAACAGTAGGTTGTTAGTACCATAGCTCCAATATACATGCACTGGCAGAGCATAGAGTATGGAGGAGTCCAAGTCTGAGGAGAAAACCCTCCATGCTTCATGGAATCCAACCAGATAAGCTCACACCCACACTTCCCTCTCTTCTTCCTGATAATAATGAGGAGAAGCCAATCTCATAAGCTTCCATCACCTCCAGCTTCCTAATAGAAATCTAGTACTGAAATTTACTCATCAATGTCCCTAAAGAGAAAGGAAGTTAAACTCCTCATTGCATGCTGGGAAAAGATGATTGCCACAACTTTAATGAATCCAAGAGAGAATTAATTATTCATCACTTCTATACTTTCTATTCAGGCTGTTGCCCTTGAGTTGTGTTTGCACTCTGAGGAATTCCAGAACAGCTGCTTAGAGGTGACATGTGTATTCTCAAAAGATTGGTCCACAGGCATTTATAAAAGTCCATTCTAGAAAAATGAATTCATTGAGAGATCAAAGAACTTTTGACTCCTGCATTAGGCAATGAATATGCTCAAGGCATCTCCTGGAATGGCACACCCTTCACATGAGACACAGCAGTCGGCAGTCTGTTTTTCCAGAGAGTATCCTTTTTATTCCAGGAACTAGAGTAGAGAACAGCAAGCCCTGCTTACAAAGCAAGAAAGGCTTTCTCTTTAAGATTTAATTAATTAATTAATTAATTAATTATATGAGAGAGAAAGGGAGAGCAAGTGGGAGGAGGGGCAAGGAGAGGGAGAGGGGAAGCAGACTCCATGCTGAACACAAAGCTTGACTCAGGGCTCAATCCTACGACCTTGAGATCATGACCCAGGTGAAGCCAAGAGTAGGATGTTCAACTGATTGAGCCACCAAAGCGCCCCCAGAAAGGCTCTCTGTGAGAGAGAATGGTAAGTAGTTTATTTACCATCACAAATGAGAAAATTGTGCCCTGTGTCAGGATATATCTATTTCTTAAGAGCATATTACAAAATATTGTGCATATTTTCATTATCATTTTGATGGCATTTATGTAATGACATATTTTAAATATTTTTCCATTCATACATCAATTTCTACAATAGCAGAGTAGAATTCTACAGTACCAGAGTAGAATTACTTTAGCCATTATCTACTCTAAACCTGAGGGGTGACTGAATTCTTTCATGAAATAATATGATTTAAAATTTTGTTTATAGTAAATAATATGGAATATAATGTGTTAGTCCTTTATTTTTCACAAACAGGACATAAAGGACTAATTTTCACGGAGAAAGCATAGGGACATTTTTATATGATGCATTATAATATGATAATAGGCACACACAAAATATTTGTTTAAATTAATATAATTAAATTTGCATAACACTTCTATTTAGAAACATTTATTCACTAGCTGGACATTTTTTTAAGGTTTTTATTTATATATTTGAGAGAGAGCATGAGTAGGGGGAGGGGCAGAGGGGGATGGAGAGGGAGAATCTCAAGCAGACTCCCTGGTGAGCTCAGAGCCTGATGTGGGGCTCAATTCCAGGATCCTGAGATCATGACCTGAGCAAAAACCAAGAGTCAATCACTTAACCCACTGAGCCACCCATGTGCCCCCACTAGCTGGACATTCTTATCTTTATGTTGCAACTGACTGATGTTTGGGAGGTATACTGCAAGCAATTTATTAACTGTAATAGATCCTAAAGTTTGTGAATGATTTCCTTTCCCCATAGTCCCTTTGTAAGCAACCTCATAGAGTCAGGGTTATTCCTATATAATTTCATTCTCATTCATTTGTTTTTGGGAGGATTTATTGACTGGGAAAGGGAAGAAGCAGAATTGTTGCTGTTTGATTGGAAACAGCCAATGCCGCCACAAGGTTTCCACGGGACCTCTGTTTTTATGGTAGAGGAGAATGTCAAGATCAGCACAGGCCGAGGGGTCATGGTGCCACATTTATGTCCCCACAGGCTGTTATTTTTCTCAGGTCAGGAAGACGTTTGTACCCAAACAACTGGATCTAAATGTCCTCACAATTTCAGCAGAAATGTCCCTTCTCAATCTCTTTTTTCTCTGTGGGCCAAAGTGCTAGATTTTTTTTTTTTTTCCCTGTTCTACTGACTTCAGTCTGCGTTGTTAGTGAGCAGACTTTATGTCTCAAAGTTTGGTTCCCCACTCAGCTTTAGTAGGCAGGGGGATCAGATGCCATTGGGGTATCAGGCTTCGTGATGGCAGGGTCAAAGACCTGATGTGCCCCTCCTGGAGAGGTGATTGGTGAAGGTCAGCCCTTTTCCATTCTGACAATCATATTCATAGAAAGAAACTCAAATTTTAACAATGGCTTTATATTGTCCATGGGACAGGCTAATCACAAATATGTGATTTCCTATGAGGCCCCTATAAAGCCACCTTCTTCTCAAACCTAAGACTAAATACAGTGGTTTAGAGATGCTGATCTATACCATGTTTGAGGCAGAACTGATGCTGAGAAATCTTAGCCTGTTGAACACCACAGGGCTCTCATGCTGGGACTTCCCAGGAAGAGGGACAACTGGTGGAGAAGTAGTCAGTAATTTGACTCTTTTTATATGCAGAATTCCAGGAAATTGGTTTGAATGGTGTTAACATTAACTTTTGGTTTTTTCCTTTCTTTAATGTTAATTTGGCTGAATTCTCAGGGAATTAAAAAGATATAGATATTTTTCCCTATTTGGTTTTCTCTCTCTCTTCATTCCACTGAACATTCTCTATAGACCATGAGTTGAAAAGGTAATGGCCTTCAGAATTAGATAGACCTGGGTTAAATTCCAGGCTTGCTTAAGTAGCTGCACAAACTTAAGTATCAGTTTCCTCACCTGCAAATCCTACTAAATATTTTCTGTATAGGATTGTTGTGATCATGTGTACAAATACCCAGCCCAATACATCCTGGTACACTCATAAACAGGAGCTACTATTATATTTGGGGCTGTTGTTACAATCATAGGCTTCTAGACAGGGCTATGCAAGGATGGAAAGAAGTCTGGGATTGTTTGTTAAGCTGGCTTCTTTTATTTGGCCATCATGTATGCAATTTAACAAAGGACTAGAAGAACACACACCAAACTGTTAACAGTGGTGTTGAGCAGAGTACTTTACGAAGGTGAAGATACTTCATTTACTTTTTATGTCCTTTTGACTTATGTGAAATTTTTCAGAGAACATATACTACTTTTAACATTAAAAATCCCATATATTTTCATTAAAAAATGTAATGACAATACTGTACATTTCCTTGCAATTTATATCTATAATTGTTTCAAAATAAAAATTTTGAAATCATTAAATAAAATACATAACCTAAAATAAGGGAATTTATATATTATGTGTATATATAAATATTGGAGGCAAGGAAGCTTTCAGTCATGTAAAATGTTAACCATCCTAGAAGATGTCCACGCCCCCTAGAAGGGGATGTCCTTAGGATAGGTTAATATTAAGGCATACACTGATATGTTGGGTTGTGAGGGCCTATTTAGCCAGAGTGGCCCCACCTCGGTTGAACAGCCATTTTGTTGTTTATGCAGTAAAACTTAAATTCACCCTGCCCCCCCACCCCCGGGGAACTTATTTAAAAGCAAGTCCGGGAAACCAGTCCCAGGTAACAAAGCCCAAATACAAGGGTGGGTCAGGTCAGATAACATCCCGAATGCAGGGATGAGTTGGGTCAGGTGGAGACATCCAATCAGTAAAACTGTCTTCCTAGCTACCAAGGAGAGTGGGCCCCGCCTTTTGGGTGCCAATTCTGACCAAGGTGATAGGTTAGTTCAAATGTCTACTATAGGCTAAATTGTAATTCAATTGGTCACTTATGTGTGACCTAGCATGACTGTGCAGTTTTCTCTGTGTGTTACAATCTCATTCGCCACCTGTGTGTGGCCAGGCCCAACCACATGGCCTTTGCTCTATAAAAGTTAGTCTGTGAGGCAGGGAGGGGTC